GGAGGCAAACCCGAGCTGACCGGCACGGTTCAGTTACTCATCACAGTACTGGACGTCAATGATAATGCTCCGGTTTTTGACAGATCTCGCTATACCGTGAAATTACCGGAGAACGTACCAAACGGAACGTTGGTAATCAAAGTCAATGCTTCAGATTTAGACGAAGGCGTGAATGGGGACGTTATGTACTCATTTTCTAGTGATATTTCCCCAGATATAAAATCCAAGTTTCACATGGACGCTGTGAGTGGAGAAATTACAGTTATAGGCGTTATTGATTTCGAAGAAAGTAAAGCTTACAAGATTCCATTAGAAGCGCGAGATAAAGGCTTCCCACCACTGATTGGTCACTGTACAGTTCTTGTGGAAGTTGTAGATGCTAACGACAACGCTCCACAGCTGACTGTCAAAACGCTCTGGCTCCCTGTTAAAGAAGACGCACAGTTGGGGAAAGTTATAGCCTTGATCAGCGTGACTGATCTAGACGAAGGTTCCAATGGGCAGGTGACCTGCTCCCTGACCCCTCAAGTCCCCTTCAAGCTGGTATCCACCTTCAAGAATTACTATTCGCTCGTGCTGGACAGCGCCTTGGACAGAGAGACCACACCTGACTATAAAGTGGTGGTGACAGCCCGGGATGGGGGCTCGCCCTCTCTGTGGGCCACCGCCAGCGTGTCCGTGGAGGTGGCTGATGTGAACGACAATTCACCCACGTTCGCGCAGCCCGAATACACTGTTTTTGTAAAGGAGAACAACCCACCTGGCGCCCACATCTTCACGGTGTCGGCCATGGACGCAGATGCGCAGGAGAACGCGCTGGTGTCCTACTCACTGGTGGAGAGGCGGGTGGGTGAGCGCTCGCTGTCGAGCTTCGTGTCTGTGCACGCGGAGAGCGGCAAGGTGTTCGCTCTGCAGCCTCTGGACCATGAGGAGCTGGAGCTGCTGCAGTTCCAGGTGAGCGCGCGGGATGCTGGTGTGCCTTCCCTGGGCAGCAATGTGACTCTGCAGGTGTTTGTGCTGGACGAGAACGACAATGCGCCTGTATTGCTTGGGTCTGGGACGGGCAGTGCAGACGGAGTGTTCAATCAGTTGTTGCCCAGGTCTGTGGAGCCTGGTCACGTGGTGGCGAAGGTCCGCGCTGTAGATGCTGACTCTGGTTACAATGCTTGGCTTTCTTATGAGCTGCAGCCGTGGCCAGGCAGTACACGCAGCCCATTCCGTGTAGGCCTATACACCGGCGAGATCAGCACCACAAGGGCCCTGGACGAGGCAGATGGGACTAGACAGCGCCTGCTGGTGCTAGTGAAGGACCACGGTGAGCCTCAGTTAACTGCCACAGTCACCGTGCTGGTGTCTCTAGTGGAAAATGGCCAGGCACCAAAGACCTCTTTGAGGTCCTCTGTAGGTGCTCCTGTGCCTGAGTCATCCTTAGTGGATGTCAACGTGTATCTGATCATCGCCATCTGCGCGGTGTCCAGCCTGTTGGTGCTCACACTGCTACTGTACACTGCGCTGCGCTGCTCCTTGGCGCCCACAGGGGGCACTTGCGGGTCGGGGAAGCCTGTGCTGGTGTGCTCCAGTGCAGCAGGGACCTGGTCATACTCGCAACAGAGGCGACAGAGGGTGTGCTCTGGAGAGGTTCCGCCCAAGGCCGATCTCATGGCCTTCAGCCCAGGTCTACCTCCATGTCCTGGATCTGCAGATGGATCTGGAGAACCATCTGTTCCTTTGGACTCCTATGAGAAGGTGAGTTGCTGTAGAACTGCATTTATTCATGTACTTATTTCTTCGTGAAAGAATTTCTTACTTTATTTGTATACTGCTTTTCATTCTCTACAATTCTACCAGAGGTTTTAAAATTGCAGATATCTAAATTAGGACAAGACTTGTGTTTGCTCACTCCTTGTTGCTTAAAGAACAGCTAATTTTAATTAAAACATTACTATAATAACATCAGTTTTTAAAAACTATAAAGAGTGAATCAAATTGCTAATGCTGAACCTCAACAACTCTTGAAAGGTATTCGTCGTGAAAAACAAAAACTAACCAAACAACAGTAGCCACAACAAAACAACCCACAATGGCTTAGTAGTCATTCAGTTAACATGAATATAAAATTCCATCTGTGTTCTGGATGGAGACACAAAACAACGAGGGAGTCATAGAAAACCACTTCTCTACTTAGAAACCTAATTCTAGGCTTGGCATGGTTGTGCACACCTTTAATCTTAGCATAGAGGCAGATGCAGGTGCATCTTTGTGAGTTCAAGATTAGCCTGGTTTACATAGCGAGTTCCAGAACAGTCAGGACTACATAGAGAGACCCTGCCTCAAAAAAGTCAAAACAAAACAAACCACAATGATGACAAAAACAATCCCCCAAATCAGAAATATAATTCTATTACAAAGAGTATAAATATGACTCTCATTTCAACGAAAGTAAAATAATCCCTAAATTTCTTTTAATGTAAATTATAAGAAAATATTTACAGACAGCGATTTCTATAATGGTAACTATTCCTCTTGTGATATTAGAGAAAACACTCTCTCCCAGCAGTTAAGAGTTTCTTTCTTCAGAAAGGGATATTTCAAATTACCTTTTTTTTTTGGTTTAGTGATTAAAAATTTGGGATGTAAAGATTTAAACCATTAAATTCTCTTGTAATTAATAGCCTGAAAGTTAGAAAAAAACTTCCTTATGATGGATAAAAATTTGCTTTTCTCTCATTATTCCACAAGACAAGCGTCTAACGTACCTTCAATGTCCTTACATGCTATACTTAACACTGTGAAACTGTAATTTGTGGCTTTTGTGTGGTGGTTCTTTTGCTGGACCTTTAGCCCAAGTTATTTTTTTCTAATTTTTTCATTTGCACTTAACAACCTAAAATTCCAGGAAGAACCAGAATAAAGGACACCTCATTTTTGCTTTCAAAATTCCATCTTAGATTCAGTGAAGTTGGTATAGAGGCCTACACTGTCAGCTGTTGGGCAAAACAACATGTTTCATCTCCACCCTGTTTAATTTCTCAGCCTTTTAAAAGTCTTACATCCTTGGATTCCTTGTGCTTAAGTTTCCTTATGTACCCAAAGATAAATTAATCCCACAGGTATTTCACAAATTCTGAAATTTGTATATGATGGCAGCCTGTAAGCTGGGAGATAATGTGGATTACTATAAAAGGCTAACTTGCCAATTGCATCAATGTAGACATGAGTGAGAAGGAATGCATCTTATAGTTACCAAGAACAAAGTAAACGCTAAAAGTATTAGCTCGAAAAGACAGAATTGTCTTAGATGCAAATGACACCAATAGCTCCCCTCAATCTATACTATGTATTCAAATAATTGAACCTGCAGGGAGTAGTGGTGCATGTCTTTAATCTCAGAACTCTGGAGGCAGAGGCAGGCAGATCTCTGTGAGTTTGAGGCCAGCCTGGTCTACAAAGTGAATTCGAGGACAGGCAGGGGTGTGTAAAGAGACCCTGTCTCAACTCTTCTCTCAATGAAACAAAACAAAAAGCAAATACTTGAACCCAAGTCTAAAGGATGCATGGAATGTGAAAAACAACTTCAAATGGAAACATTTGAAGGTGTAAGTCCGAATTCAAGGTAAGTTGTGTTGATGGGGATACATTGTACGACAGAAATGCATAGACTACTTAAAAATTTGAAAAGATGGAAATGCTTTTTTGTAGCAAACTCTGAAAGCAAGTCATGAATTTGTCAATTACTTCATTCAAAATGAGATTCTTTAGTCAATATAAAGTGTAACTGATGTAACCGATTTTCAATTTCTTAAATACAACAATCATCCCTTTTAATACGTGTACTAGACAGAACTGAGGCACTGGAGAGTGACAGTTTTCCAAAGGAAATTCATGTTTTTTTCCCCCTGAGGAGCCTGATTTAGTCATAAGCATAAAAAAAATGTGTCCAAACTGGGGCCTGAGAATAGTTCATACTTATGAAGGGCTCATTCTCCTAAAGAAACTCCCCAGACTTCAAGAATCTATAATTTACACAATGTTTTCTTGCTATTAAGACAATATTATGAAGGTGGGAAAAGGCACACGGAGAGTTTGCATGGATGGGAAGCCAAAGGTGCATGGTTACTAGGAACGTATATAAGAATGTAAGTGGAAGGAAGGCTGATGGTGAGGTTGGCAATCTCTGCACGCTAGTGTTGACTTCGGAGTCACGAGCATCTAACACACAACTGAATCAGTGTCCTGAAATTGCTGTCTAAATGAAATTTACTTAACCTTAAAACAATGCCCAAAGTAATTGAATTGAGTATTACAACTTGAAGGAGCCTACACCCGTTGCACAATAAATTATCAGTCCTCTTATTATTTCATGACTCTTAAGGGCATGTTAAAATTTAGCTTGTAGTTATCGCGCGATCAAGGAAGAAATCACTTCTTGTAGTTTCACCTTGAAGAAAAAGCTGTACTATGGATCCACATTAAATATTAAAACGTGTTAAAGAGATATAATGTGTGGCACCAAGTGTACACAGAGATAATAATCCACAGAAATAAATCAAAGATGTGAATTAAAGAAAAAATGCACTCATAGAACTATACTTACACATTTAGCCACTGGATGTCGCTGCCGTCCACAAAATAGTAGCTTTTTAGAACAAAGACATAATTCGCTGTTTCTCGAGGGTTAGGAAGTAGCTACATTCAGAGATCTCAGCGTTTCGATTTAAAAAAATGAGACTAGGAAATCGACCAGAAGATATTAAAACGTGTGTGCATTCCACATGGCATATTCATGGAGTTTTAAGACAAGAGAATGGTTCTGTGGTGATGTCCAGATGCTTGAGCCATGGAGCTTGGCGTCTGCTGCTCTGGCTTCTGCTCCTCGCAGCCTGGGAGGCAGGGAGCGGCCAGCTCCACTACTCTGTCCCCGAGGAGGCCAAACACGGAACCTTCGTGGGCCGCATCGCGCAGGACCTGGGGCTGGAGCTGGCGGAGCTGGTACCCCGCCTGTTCAGGATGGCGTCCAAGGACCGCGGGGACCTTCTGGAGGTAAATCTGCAGAATGGCATTTTGTTTGTGAATTCTCGGATCGACCGGGAGGCGCTGTGCGGGAGGAGCGCGGAGTGTAGCATCCACCTGGAGGTGATCGTGGACCGGCCGCTGCAGGTTTTCCACGTGGAGGTGGAGGTGAGGGACATTAACGACAACCCTCCAATGTTCTCTGTAGCAGAACAAAAGATCTTGGTACCTGAATCTAGACTGCTTGATTCTCGATTTCCACTAGAAGGCGCATCTGATGCAGATGTTGGCGAGAACGCGATGCTTACTTACAAACTCAGTTCAAACGAATATTTTGTCCTTGACATTGTAAACAAAAAGGGCAAAGGCAAATTCCCAGTGCTTGTCCTTCGAAAACTGATAGATCGGGAAGAAAATCCTCAGCTAAAGTTGTTACTGACAGCGACGGATGGAGGCAAACCCGAGTTTACGGGATCGGTTTCTCTGTTGATCCAGGTGTTGGATGCTAATGATAATGCTCCCGTGTTTGACAAATCTGTTTACGAAGTTAAGATGTCTGAGAATCAAGAGAATCAAACGTTAGTAATATGGCTGAATGCTACTGATGCAGATGAAGGAGTAAACAAGGAAGTGGAGTATTCGTTTAGCTCGTTGACCCCATCTAGCATAAGAAAGAAATTTCTAATAAACGAAAAAACTGGAGAGATAAAAGTAAATGGCGCTATTGACTTTGAGGATAGGAACAATTATGAAATTCATGTGGATGCTGCAGATAAAGGACATCCACCTCTGGTTGCTCACTGCACTGTACTCGTGGAAATCCTGGATGAAAATGATAACGCTCCAGAAATAGTCCTTACATCTTTGTCGCTTCCGGTGAAAGAAGACGCTCTTTTGGGTACTGTAATCGCCCTGATCAGCGTGTCAGACCAAGACTCTGGAGTCAATGGACAGGTGACCTGTTCGCTGACTCCGCATGTTCCCTTCAAGCTGGTGTCTACCTTTAAGAATTACTATTCGCTTGTCCTGGACAGCGCCCTGGACCGAGAGACCACACCTGACTATAAGGTGGTGGTGACAGCCCGGGATGGGGGCTCGCTCTCGCTGTGGGCCACCGCCAGCGTGTCTGTGGAAGTAGCTGATGTGAACGACAATGCACCCGCGTTCTCGCAGCCCGAATACACGGTGTTCGTGAAGGAGAACAACCCACCTGGCGCCCACATCTTCACGGTGTCGGCCATGGACGCAGACTCGCAGGAGAACGCACTGGTGTCCTACTCGCTGGTGGAGAGGCGGGTGGGTGAGCGCTCGCTGTCGAGCTTCGTGTCTGTGCACGCGGAGAGTGGCAAGGTGTTCGCCCTGCAGCCTCTGGACCATGAGGAGCTGGAGCTGCTGCAGTTCCAGGTGAGCGCGCGGGATGCTGGTGTGCCTTCCCTGGGCAGCAATGTGACTCTACAGGTGTTTGTGCTGGACGAGAACGACAATGCGCCCTTGCTGCTGGGGCCTCAGACAGTTGGAACTGCTGGCGAATTTAGTCAACTTGTGTCGCGGTCAATGGGTGCTGGACACGTGGTGTCAAAGGTGCGCGCGGTGGATGCAGACTCTGGTTACAATGCGTGGCTGTCTTACGAGCTGCAGCCCGCTGTGGGCATGCGCAGTCCTTTCCGCGTGGGTCTATACACGGGTGAGATCAGTACGACACGAGCCCTGGATGAAGCTGATGCGCCGCGCCAGCGCCTATTGGTGTTGGTGAAGGACCATGGCGAACCCACGTTGACTGCCACTGCCACCGTGCTGGTGTCTCTAATGGAGAGCGGTCAAGTGCCAAAAGCTTCTTCCCAGGGGTTCTCCAATTCCTCAGACAGGGAGGCATCGCTAGTGGATGTCAATGTGTATTTAATCATCGCCATCTGCGCAGTGTCTAGCCTGTTGGTGCTCACGCTGCTGCTGTACACTGCGCTGCGCTGCTCCGCAGTGCCTATGCAAGGTGGGTGCGGGCTTGGAAAGCCCGTGCTGGTGTGCTCCAGCGCGGTGGGGACCTGGTCATATTCTCAGCAGAGACAGCAAAGGGTGTGCTCTGGAGAGGGTCTGCCCAAAACTGACCTCATGGCCTTCAGCCCCAGTCTTACACCCTACCCAGTGACCGATGTGGGAGTGGAAAACCATTCTGCTGGAGGAGACGTTTCCGGGCAGGTGGGCTATTACTTTTTTTTTATTTTCGTGTTTTGCTTGATAAAATAGATTTTCTCTCTCACTTTATTTTGTGACAAATATATATCCCAGACTATATTTTCTTTGTCTGAGTACCCCTGTGCCCCAATATTTCTAGTGATGCTTTCAAATATACTTTATTCCAAGAGTTTATTTATGATGTTTGTCTATGCAGTATGCACTCCCCTGCTTGAAACGTGTAATTTTAATATAACTATTATGAACACATAAGCTTTCATCAATAGAATTCTTGTATTAGGAAGCAGTAATTTTTATTTTCATATGCTGTCTTCATGTACACGTTTGTAAGTTTAATAATTAAATTTTTAAGTTAATTTTTTCAGGTTTTTTTTGAGACAGTGTTTCCCTTTGAAGCCCTGGCTATCCTGAAACTCACTTTGTAGACCAGCCTGCCCTCAAACTCAGAGATCCTCCTGCCTCTGCTTCCCAAGTGCTGGAAACAAAGGCATGTGTCACCACACCCTCCTCCAGTTAAATTTTGATTTGTCACACTTCCATTAAGAAAACTACGCTGATTCACATCTTTCTCCCTTTCAGTGAGAATGTTTAGCATTTTATTTTGCTCCTTGTGTTTGTCATAGAACATTAATTTATATTCAACAGCTCCTCTTGTTTGTCTGCATCTCAGCAACCTAGAAAGCCAGTTCAGTGCTAACATTTGCTGTTCTGCTGTTTTGTTTTTTTATTTCTGTAGTGTTGGTCCTTGTTCCAGTATGCATCATTCACTTCTATTTTAGAATTAGGATGTTTGTAGTTATTAGCATGATTTTACTCAACAACCCTTCACAATGGTTCCCTTTATCAGAAAAGCCCAAGCAACTTGTGATGTTCAAGTATTAGCTCATTCGCTTTAAGAAAGATATTATGGTGGGAGTGGAAACCTTCTAAAATTTATTAACAATTTTATCTCACCGAGTTTGATGGTGCACATCATTAACTACAGCACTCAGGAGACAGAGGCAAACAGATCTCTGTGAGTTTGAGGCCATCCTGGTCTACATAGTCAGTTCCAGGACAGCCAGAGCAAATAGTGAGATCTTTTCTAAAAACAAACAAAAACAAAAACAAAAGCAAACCCAACCAAACCAAAACAAAAAACCCTATTTCTCTTAAGGATGGAATGCACAGAATGGGTGAATCTTTCTAAGCCCCTCCGTCTTCCTTCCTGTGTCTCTCTGTCCTAATCTGGATCCACCAAAATTCTGTGGTTAATTCTTTCAGTTGAATGTTGACTCCACCCTCTGATTCAAGGTTTAACTTTACTGACAGTCTCAAGAGTATCAGAGTACAATCAAAATATCCTACAACACAAAAGCTTTATCTTCTTGTGACATATTTCAAATGAAGTGTCTTCTGCATGCCAGATGAGGATTCTTTTTGTTTAAAGAAATTAAAAAGGGGTTGAGAGTTGGTGGCACATGCTTTTAATCTTAGCACTCGGGAGGCAGAGGCAGGCAGATCTCTGTGAGTTTGGGGCCAACCTGATCTACAAAGTGAATTCCAGGACAGGCTACAAAGTTACGCAGAGAAACCCTATCTCGAAAAATTCAAGAAAAGGAAAAAAGAAATATGAAATTAAAAAGTGTTGCTTTAGTCTAAATTAGTATTAAAATATAAAAAATTAAATTATACTAAAAATATTTTCTTTTTCTGTGGTGTATGATTTAGCTTAATAGCTTCTCTTGCTATCTTAAACAGAGTGGAGATGGTTTTTATCTATAACAAGATATACAAGATAGTTAAGTTACATGATGTGATGGCTGTTCTTGATTATCAACTTGACTACATCTGGACTTACTTAAAATTCCATCAACTGGTTACACCTGTGAGAGATTTTTTTCTAAATTAAATTCTTTAATGTAGGAAGACCCAATTTTAATCTGCATCTTTTGAGGTGGTGTTATATACCTTTAATCCAGATCTTTTAAGGTGGGAAGATCCACCCTTAATTTAGGACATACCTTCTGGTGGCAGCCTATATAAAGGATATGGAAGAAGGAAGCTTACTCTCTGCCTGATTGCTCTTGCTCTGACTGTGAGTCCATTCCTTTCTTCGCATTAGAATCTACTTTAGGATTCTAGTGTATACTAATGGCCAACTGAGATATCAAGCCTCATGGATTTAACAACTACTGGATTCTAGGACTTTTCGTTGGTAGACTTTCATATTGGACTAGTTGGACCACAGTCTATAAGCCATTCTAATAAATGTTCTGTAAGTTCTGCTCCTCCCAAGAACCCTGAGTAATAGATATGGTGACAAAAACACCCAATCAATTATGCTTCACTGAAACTAGTGGGTATCTGATAACTCATGGTTTCAGTTTTCAAAGTAATTCCAACATCACCCAAACAATCAGCATTTATCATTTCAGTTCTGGTCCTTAGCAATTTCTTGTCCTTTCCCATTTACTACGGATTTGTTATTCAGTCTGTGTTTCACACATAAATTCCAACAAAAGTTGACATCATTAAGCAAGTTTGACAACACAAAAATCAGGGCAAAAATGCAAACACAATATTGCCTTCAGTTGCCAGATTTTCATGGCTGGTCTTGATACCAAATTTTAGAGATTATTGATGATAAATGCATGCTAAGTTAAAAATTTATTAGCTACTATATCAAGTCAACTTATGAAATATATACCTTAGACTTGAAGTCATATCAAAATGTTCTGTTTTCCTGTAGTCAGAGCTCATATTAATCAAATGTCTCAGTTATCCTGAGTTGGATCTCCAATTATTTATTTTATTTTATGTTTTTGAGGCAGAGTCTCACAATAGCTCAGGTTGGCCTAGAATCACTATGTTCAGGCTGGCCTCAAAGTCAGAGTGAGCCTCCTGTATCAGCCTCTCAGGTGCCAGGATTACAGGCATGACCTATTCATTACACCTGGGTTGGCCGTCAACTTTAAGAGGAGAACCTGCTTCTGGTTCTATCTCTCTCTGTCTCTTCTGTGTTTCTCATATCTCTCTCTCTCTCTCTCTCTCTCTCTCTCTCTCTCTCTCTTATTGACCATACATATGTTTATATGTATAATAGTAGATATCTTTGCTTTTTTTTGATATTTCAAATAGATATAAACTCACTGAGTTATTGTATATTTTTCAGGTTGGTGAATTTGCTATTACTTTTAATTCATTTTTTCATGTTATCATTTTTTATAAGATCATCTGTGAATAAACTCAGAACAATATCCAGGGTACACAACCCAGAGAAATACAGCTAACAGTCCAGTTAAAATAAATGTGTAGCTAAGTCTTCCCTTTTCTCTTAAGTACCTATTAGGAGTAACCCCCTGTGAAATTCAAATCGTGTCTTTTATTATTTCTCTCTTTAATTGTCTCTTTTCCTTCCCCACCCTCCTCTTACATCATTTTGGTATAGTCCCTGAATTCTCGATCCTTCTTTTGCCTGTTGAATGCAGGGATGAGGGACATGCACCATTACACCTGGCTTGATAGTATTTGAGATATGTTATTAGCAGATGGACTTACTGTTATAGTATAATTGTTAGATTCGTGGAAACCTTGTAACATCAAGACATTGCAAATTACACTTTAAACTTTTTAAAATCAAGTTTTTAGGCTAGCATTTAACGTAAGGAGCTTTGTAATGGCATCTTCACACATCTGTCACATTCCTCTGTCATTCATTCCTCTTCCTCTTTTCCCTCTCTATCTGTCTGGAGCCCTTCTCTGCCCCTAGTTTGCCTGGCTTTCTGTTTTCTTGTTTCATGTTTTACAGTACCTGCTCTATCTCTCACCTCTTGAGAATTGTTCTACCTCTCTCATGATCCTTTAACTAGTTCTGCAAACCCCCAAGCACACAAATCTAAAAATTACTCTTTATATGCATATTGGTAACATAATCCTTCAATCTAAAATAGTAATGGACCTTCATTTAGTATGAAATCTTTCCAAAAGACATTGCCTATTTTACTCAGAAAACAAGAGATTAAAATTTTCACCATGATCCTTTTTCTTACTTTAATTAGCTCAATAGGCTAATTTTTTCTTTCTCTTTTAAATAATGCAATGTATTAGTTTAGGATTTGTGTCTTCAATCACAAAAACAATTACAGATAATGGGAACTATCTTTGGTATAGATTCATGGTCATTAAGTCACTATTGGTGTGTTCAATTGAAAACTGAAGTTCACATAAAGAAAATAAAGTTGATTATTTTGGGTATTCACTTACAATCACTTTTTAGTGAAGGAATACTTGAGTTTTTCAATGACTTAATATTACTGTCAAGATTCAGATGCTAATTAATTGGTTCCATATAGTCTTGAGATGATTAAAACATTTTCTTCTTTAACAAAATGCTGATGAACTTCATTGCCATTTATAAGTATCCCATATAAATTCCAATATATTTTTGTAGCTCAGATTAAATATGATAATATAAAATTGAGTGAATGAGACTTAGAATACCTTTTATATTCCAGACTCTTCACATAGTTTTCTAAGAAAATACTATAAACAGACAAATATAACTAGAACTCCTGACACTATTTTTGGATGAAAATTAATTAATTTTTCCAAGTAAGTAATAAGTATAATTGACATTGAAGTTTTCCAATATGACAGAAATAACCCTAATCCTGAACAGAGATAATGACTGAACAAAAACTTTAAAATTAGATAGCCTTAAAAATAGGCTCTCAATTTCCCACTATCTGTGCTGAGTAAATTTATTAATATCAAATAAAGAATTATTTGGATAAAATAGTAAATAGCTTATTAGTATTGAATTGAAATCCCATTGTGTTGTGGTGGTAACAGAAAATCTGCATCTTCAATTATTTTCTATAGAGTTAAATCAAATAATCAGAATAATTTAGTATTTTAAAAGAGTCAGCGGAACACAATTACAAAGTTATAGGAAGAGGTTGGATACACGGCTTTCCAATATGTTATATTTCTTACAAACTCTTAAAAAGCTGTATCGCCAATGCAAATGTAATTTGTTCATATTTACACAGTAATACAGCTTTGCAGTAGTATGTTCTTAGACGTCTATATAGAAGATGCAACTTACTGTAAGTCTAAGATAAAACAACCTTTAATCAGCTACCGGCTATTGAAATGTGAACTAGAAACCTACAAAGGAAAGCACAAATATGGCATTCCGAAGTAGGTTTAAATCGCAGAGCGCAATTGCACTTACACTTTGAACCACAGGATGTCGTTGTTCTCCAACAAGAGCGCTAAGGGAAGAAACTCAGACCATCTGCAGACCGGAAAGAAGCTGCTCCAGTACTTTAAAGATTATAAACAGCACCCACATTGTTGCGATTATCCTGAAGCAAGAATACTACTACTACTGCGAATAATAATAAAATAAAATCTCAAAGACACTATGTCTTTTGTCGCCATGGCATACTGCCAGGGATCCTGGTGCCTGCTGCCCTCGCTTCTGCTGTTCACAATCTGGAAGGCAGGGAGCGGCCAGCTCCACTACTCCATCTCCGAGGAGGCCAAACACGGAACCTTCGTGGGTCGCATCGCTCAGGACCTGGGGCTGGAGCTGGCGGAGCTGGTGCCCCGCCTGTTCAGGGTGGCGTCCAAGGACCGCGGGGACCTTCTGGAGGTAAATCTGCAGAATGGCATTTTGTTTGTGAATTCTCGGATCGACCGGGAGGCGCTGTGCGGGCGGAGCGCGGAGTGTAGCATCCACCTGGAAGTGATCGTGGACCGGCCGCTGCAGGTTTTCCACGTGGAGGTGGAGGTGAGGGACATTAATGATAATCCTCCAGTGTTCCCGACAGCACAGAAAAGTCTCTTTGTTTCGGAAACAAGAGCTTTAGACTCTCGTTTTTCACTAGAGGGCGCTTCAGATGCAGATATCGGAACCAATGCTCTGCTGACTTACAGGCTGAGTTCCAGTGAGTATTTCTCCCTGGAAGTACCAACTACAGATGAGCAGGTTAAACCTCTGGAACTAGTGTTAAAGAAACCTTTAGACAGAGAACGAGCTTCTGAGCTTCACTTAGTGGTTAAAGCAACGGATGGGGGCAAACCCGAGCTCACGGGCACCTTGGAACTACATATCACAGTGATGGATGTAAATGACAATGCGCCAGTGTTTGACAGAGCAGTCTATCGGGTGAAGCTGGTAGAAAATGCAAGAAATGGTACCCTGGTGGTTAAACTAAATGCCTCGGATTTGGACGAAGGTTCGAACAGTCTTATTCTTTATTCCTTTGCAACGGATGTTTCCCCTAAGACAGAAGCTACTTTTCATATTGATTCAGCCAGTGGAGAAATTAAAGTCAGTGGAAAAATAGATTTTGAAGAATCTAGTCTATGGAAGATTCAAGCAGAAGCAGTCGACAAAGGCAGTCCTCCAATGTTTGGTCACTGCACAATCTTAATTGAAGTCCTGGACATCAATGATAATGCTCCCGAGTTAATAATAACATCATTATCACTCCCTGTACGAGAGGATGCCCCATTGGGGACAGTTATTGCCCTAATCAGCGTGACAGACCGTGACTCTGGTGACAACGGGCAGGTGACCTGCTCCCTGACCCCTGACATCCCCTTCAAGCTGGTGTCTACCTTCAAGAATTACTATTCGCTCGTGCTGGACAGCGCCCTGGACCGCGAGACCACACCTGACTATAAGGTGGTGGTGACAGCCCGGGATGGGGGCTCGCCCTCACTGTGGGCCACCGCCAGCGTGTCCGTGGAGGTGGCTGACGTGAATGACAACGTGCCCGCGTTTGCTCAGCCCGAATACACGGTGTTCGTGAAGGAGAACAACCCGCCTGGCTCGCACATATTCACGGTGTCGGCCATGGACGCAGATGCGCAGGAGAATGCACTGGTGTCCTACTCGCTGGTGGAGAGGCGGGTGGGCGAGCGCTCGCTGTCGAGCTTCGTGTCTGTGCACGCGGAGAGCGGCAAGGTGTTCGCCCTGCAGCCTCTGGACCATGAGGAGCTGGAGCTGCTGCAGTTCCAGGTGAGCGCGCGGGATGCTGGTGTGCCTTCCCTGGGCAGCAATGTGACTCTGCAGGTGTTTGTGCTGGACAAGAACGACAATGCTCCCACGCTGCTGCCCCATGGAGCCGTGGGAGCGGTAGGGGCAGTGAGTGAGTTTGTGCCTAGATCAGTGGGTTCGGGTCATGTGGTCACCAAGGTGAGAGCAGTGGATGCAGACTCTGGTTACAATGCTTGGCTCTCTTATGAACTGCAGACGTCGGCAGGCAATTCCCGAAGCCTATTCCGCGTGGGCCTATATACTGGCGAGATCAGCACCACACGCGCCCTGGATGAAGCGGATGCGCTGCACCAGCGCCTGCTGGTGCTGGTGAAGGATCATGGTGAACCTGCGCTGACTGCCACAGCCACAGTGCTAGTTTCTCTGCTTGAGAACAGCCAAGCTCCAAAAACCTCATCAAAAGCATTGGTAGATGCCAATGGCCGCGGGGCGTCGCTAGTGGATGTCAACGTGTACCTGATCATCGCCATCTGTGCTGTGTCCAGCCTGTTGGTGCTCACACTGCTACTGTACACCGCGCTGCGCTGCTCAGCGATGCCCACCAATGGAGCCTGTGCTCCGGGGAAGTCCGTGCTGGTGTGTTCCAGCGCGGTGGGTACCTGGTCATACTCACAGCAGAGGCGGCAGAGGGTGTGCTCTGGAGAGGGTCCACCCAAGACTGACCTCATGGCCTTCAGCCCCAGCCTATCCCAAGGTCCGGATTCAGCAGCGGAGAGACAGCCGCCCTTAGAGTCAGAATACTTAGCAAAGGTAAGATGGTCTTACTCTCACTCTCAGCAAAGGAGGCAGAGGGTGTGTTCTGGAGAAGGCCTGCCAAAGACAGACCTCATGGCCTTCAGTCCCAGTGTTCCCCCTGGTTTGGGTTCTGGAGAAAGTGGTGTCCAACAAGAGATCTTTAAGAAGTAAGTACCAAAATCCTGGAATACATTCCATGCCTGATGATGTCACGGATATTAACCAATTTACGATTCTATCTTCAGCATTAAATTTATTTGTTTAATCTCTCACAACAACTCATTTGAAGAATACTGGAAATCTAGCCACTTCATTGCCTTTCACTCTTGTCATCATGGTTATGATTTAGTGATTCTTTTGGTGTGCTGTGTATAATAACAGTAATAGTAGTAGTAGCAATACTAGTAAAAATGAAATAGAATGAGCCATTGTTTTCCTTAAATTAAGCACGCGTGCCAGTAAGAAGTAAGGACCATAATGGGAAATGCAGGGCATAGGCAGGGCTCGAATCTAACTTTCAAACCTGTAGTCATTTACTGTTCTTATTCTAACAGGTGCCCTTTCCCCTCTATTATGTTTGTGTATTATTTATTTTTTAAATTTGATTTGAATTTTCAACTTATTATAAACTATGAAATTGCCTGTTACTGATGGAGATGGGCATGCTTGAAGCACCTTATTTTTTATGTGAGATTTTTATATTCAGTAGCACGTTTTGTGAGCTGACAGTTGAAGTGGGTAGAGTTCTAGCGTTGTACTTACTTACTCCTCTCTTACAAGTCTTGCTATGTTTTCAAGGACAGCTTCTTCAAAGCCCTCAGCTGCTTTGGATAGACAGCATTTTAGACGCTTCCTAATGTGATGTTAATTCTCTTTAACCACTCGTGTTTTCTTAAAGTTTTTAACTTACTGAGCTCTTCCACTTACTTGATAAATTTCTCTCACTATGAATTTGCATTATTTTTCTTCAATTCTTGGTCCTTGTCAAGAAGCTGTGTGAAAGGATTTTAGGGTTAGGGAATCCTCACTTCTTTGCGCTTTGAATCCGAGAGTCTTGTCATTTGTGGTGAAGTCCAACGCCATGGCCTGTGCTGGTCAAATGGCAAAAAACATACCCCTTAATTCTACTGAAGAAATAAATCATATATATTCACAGACAGAAAATAAACCATGCTATAGATAGGGTAGAGGTAATAGAAATCCATGACGGTGTTAGCAGGCACAACTACCTTAAATGATGAATTGTGGAAAATGATTTTCATGAAAATAAATATTAGAAAAATCACACAAAAGGTAACCATGCCGTATGCCCTATTTCATGCTGCCCAATGCCTGTTTTCTTTGAGAAAGATACTGTGTAGCCCTCGCTGACCTGAAACTCACAGTGTAGACCAGGTTGGCCTGGAAATCACAGAGATCTTGTAAAACGAATTCTAATTGATCTTAATAATAACAACTCAGAGTGAGATATTAGGGGGTGAAAACGGAGAAATCAAAGAAGTAGTTCAGCCAGTCATTAGAGAAAACTTTTGTCTCCACCGAATCCTCAGACCGAAGAGACAATCCTGTTTCTGTGAACAGACTGAATCTTTTCTCTATAAACCTCAGACTGATTGTCTCTATGAATCCTCAGACTACATTGTGCTTCTGTCTCCTCCAATCTTATAGTCCTCTCTCCACATCCCTCCTATCTATACCTTCCTAGTGCTGGGATTAAAGGTGCGGGATCCCAAGTGTTGGGACCACCTTTGTGTGAGCTCTGATTCTCTTTTAGACAGATTCAATCTGGTGTAGTCCAGAGTGGCTTTGAACTCACGGAGATCCGGCTCCCTTTGTCTCTTTGGGATTAAAGGTGTGTGCCACCACTGCCTGGTCTCTATGGCTAACTAGTGGCTTAGCTCTGCACTCTGATCTTCAGGCAAGCTTTATTTGTTAGATTACAAACAGAATAACTCTACACATCTGCCTATATCTGTACCCTGAGTGAGAGTAAAGGTGCTCACCACCATGCCCTGCCGCACTGCCGACTTGTATAGACTATAGAGTGTGAGAAAATACTGCTTGGTGTATGTTAAACCAGACTGTATGAATTATTTCAATTTGTTAGACTTGCTGTGAGGGCCTCCGTACATTATTTCATTTAATCCCTACAGTAATTTACGAAGTTATTAAATTTATCTGTTTTGTCCCTCTTGAGATAGCTCATTTAAAACATTCTGGAAATCTAGCATTCTTCATTGTCTTTAATTTTTTGTCATCATGAATATTATTTAGTAATTCTTTCTTCATGCTATGTATAATAACACTAGTACTACCTATGACTGTCTGGGTTTTAAAGATGGGATATGAAAATCGGAGGTATTTGTCTTGTCTAGTGATGACATTTAAGTACAAATTTTTAGAATCTAGAGCCACTTTTGTCACCACAATGGTGACCCTTCTTCAGTAAACCTCTTTTCTGTTCAATGAAAGT